GAAATGGAATTTATCTCTTTCTCTCTCTTTCAAACAGCAGCTTCGGTTGAAGGGATTTTAATTCAATCATCTTGTCCCTCAACAGATTCAATTTAATTATTTTACATTATTTTATTACTTCAATTAGTCGTTTCTAAAGCATTTATATGTAAATGAAGAGCAAGAGAGAAAGATAATTGATCTACATAAATGACTTACAGAAATGTCTAAAAATTTCTCTTCGCAGTTCGCGAGCAAAAGAGATAAAGCGTTCACTGCAGAATTCAATGATGCGTAACTGCGATGATTCTCCTTTTTAATTCGGTCACGAATGAAACGCGAGACATTTTTCGCTCAACGATGCGATGTTAAAAACGCTCCGATGATCATATTATGTAATCCGTATGTAAACGACGCGTGTTTATGGAACAAGTTGTAAGTAGAGGTAGTTGACGCATAAATTTCATCGGTCGGCAGATCAATCATGACTACATACATATAGGCGTGTCAATGGTTAGACGAATACGTAAATCATGAGGAGATGCCCCGCAAAATGGTTTACGTCAATCCGTACTAGATAGTGTCTGATTTGCTTAATCGCGAACGGATAGAGTGAATGCATCTTTTTAGAATATCAATCGTATGTCGATGGCATCGATCACTTGGAATATGTGCTGCAGTACATTTTTACAGAGTATAAAATTGTAAATGTCATTTGTTACAACAATGACGCAATTCCAAAAACAAAACTTTTCACAGAATAAATTTGGATATTTTAAATTTATTATTTTAAAAATTTGTGATATTAATTTAAAATGCAACTTTGATATAGAACTGATAGAATAGAAATAAATATACAAGTATATTATAAAATAACAAAGTTTTTGTTTAAACATTGTTCTTAAAATCAACGTTTATGCGATTCAATTTTTGCGACTGTTATGGCAAATATCAATTGTGATAAATTGAAGTCTCGTGTATCAAAATGCTCTTATTTATCTTATCATGAGACAACATGAAATTCTAAAATTCTCGGAAATGTACCGCTAAAACATCTCCGTACTATTTCGATTTTATCCGGAGCAACAATTTGTAACCTCTCGACAGAAAAGTTTCCAATGTCACTCGATTCTCAATACGTCACAGTAAAATACGTGACGGGCAGAGAATCGAAGATAGAAATTGGAAGTCCTCGCTCCTCGTGTCTTTGATGACGAGATGTAAACAGACTCGTTTTTGATGGCCTCGTATTCTATTGTGTGCATTTCAACATTGCGCGGTTTGCGGTTTCCGTTTTTATTTAATCTCATTGTTTTGCCGCAGAAACGTATGTAACTTTCGGTCAAGTACAAATCGATGCGGAAGTAGAAATATATGAAATTGATATACAATCGAAAAACTCTTTCGAATTATTCACAGTCACAGCTATGTTTTAAGAAAATGGCTACATCTTTTCATGCATACAAAACAACAAAAAAATTCACAACTATCAAGTATTTCCACATTTAGGAATTTATAATATCCGTATACTGAGAAAAAAAATGAACTAGTAATAGAATAAATATTTAATCAGTGCCAATTAAAAACACTTACAGTAAATAAATATTTATTTACTTAGAGTAAATAAATATTTAATCAATGAAAAAATGATATTTAAATCAAATTAATGTTTCTTGTGTCACATGTGCATATATATATATTTTTTATTTAGGAAATACATAATTAGTATTATTTAAATAAATGATTTATTAATATTTAGTACATTTTTCAGTGTATTTTTCACTGTTAATCTAATTCGTTAAAATTAAATTATTATATTATATCATAAATTTATAAATTTTATTATTACTTTAAATTATATTATAGTATAAATTAAATATAAATATGTAAAAGAATAAATCATATTAAACTTGTTTTTTAATTATTTTTTGTTCAACATTATTTCACTCTCTTTCTCGATTCGTGTACACATTTGTGTAAAAATATAATAATGTCATAAATATAAAATACATTTTAATTTTAGAAGCTTTTTCTTGCAAGACTCTTAATCAATATTGACTTAAAACAGCTTCACGAAACGTAATATAGCCGCTTTCATCTTCCGCGATTTTTATAAATCGTCTTTCAAGGTTTTATGTGACACGAAAAACGAATCAATTTTTATAAATAGAATCTTGAATGAGTTTCGTTTTAGACTTAATAACCATAATGAAGAAAACTAATAACAACAGTTCAACGTATACTTTCGGCAAATCGTTGATCAAAACGAATTTCAAAATTGAAATTAAGTCGAAAGAGCTTCGCGCCGCTCAGATGTCGTTCGCGAAACGAACTCTGACCTTTGATCGCCATCACTGCCGAGCATTCGGAGCATTGCTTCACGTTCTACTGATCAAAGGACGATGCTTCTCTCACTTGGTGCATTTGCATGCACATGTACATACATATGCCATGCGTGTATGCAGCGTGTTCCTCCGGCCCGACGCAAAGTTGCTTGTTGGACTGTCGTCGTTTCCGCAACTTCCGCTTTGCTGAAAGAGAATCCACCCTTTGCTAATAAGGGCACTTTTTACAACTGTGTTTAACATTCAACCGTTCTTTATTTAACTCTGCGACTCTATAACAGTCGCATACGAGCGATCGGTTCCTATGACAAAATTTCTGAAATTTACGAAACTCTGTTCGGAGAAAAGTAACGCAAATCTTTATGCGAGCTTAAAATTGTTTACTCGCTAATTTATCAAGATTAACGTTAATTTACGACTTGGGATATTGTCTTAATCGTGCAACTTATTTAATCGTGTAACTAGATGACAAAGTATTGAGGATACCAATTCCTCATTAGAGCTCACAACGCAACATCAAAAACAGCTATCTTGATTTAATCAATTCCGATGTTGAAATACTCGCTCCATTTATATTTACACAATGAAAAAGGGAGTTTGAGAAAGAGAGTAAATTAATATATTTGAGTGAAAAACAATTAAAAAATAAGTAATTTAATATAATATAATTTACAATTTGGGACCATTATTTTAATCACTCAATTTAAATTATAATATATTTTCCATTCCATACTAAAACATAAGAGCAATTTGCGAATGTAGATGCTGAATTCAAATGGAATGTAAAGTTTTGATTGTATTTTAATATTTTAAAGCACAAAAAATCAGTTCGCAAGGAAAATAATTTATTAATGTGTAAAATTTTCAGTGAGAAAGTTGGAATAGAGAAAGACTTTAGGATAAAATCTACCTTTTCACTTGGCAGATTATGAATTTAATATTTCGTTCCAAATTTTCCTAATTCACAGATATTTTCAAACAATTAAGGGTGTCTTAAATATTTGATAGATAGTAGGATTTATCATCTTCAGTTAATATTTTTTTGGAAATATTTAGATATCAATTTTAATGCATTAATGCATGTTTTATATATACATATATATATATATATTTGGCGTTTTAATATAATTATTATTAATATAATTAGTTTCACTTTTAATTTATATTTACAATAATAAATTTAAATACAGATTTTTAAATAAATACATGTCTGTATAATTAAATCTTATAATGCTAATTTTATTTAATGATATTACTTTTCAGAAATTTTATTTCTAAAATATGATAATACATGTTTCATATATTTGGCGTTTTAACATAATTATTAGTTCCACTTTTATCTTATATAGTAGTGAATTATGAGTAGAGATTACCTATAAAACAGAAAGTACCTCGTTTAACTTTGTTATACATAAGATAGTAAATCTGATTAGTTTCGTGCGCGGATTGACACGCGGTAGTAGATAAAGGGAATGAAAGTATAAAGCTTCACTTTACTAGACGTCAGACAATCGGATCTATAGAAAGCTTTCGGCATTAAAAACACACGGGGATACTCCGTGAACATATATATACGCCTTCTCTCTGTCTCTCGTGTGCACTATCGATTCACCTCGCGGCCTTGTGCTTAATTGAATTAGTATCGGGCTAAAAAAGAGTGACCTTGAGTCAATTAACGACGAGACAAAATAAGACAGAGTGGCGCTTCTCACTACTTCTCGCTCGAGCAACAAAAAGAGAAAGTACCTCTTTAAGTCGCGATTATTCTTCATAATTGTGGACACATTATGAAGAACACACACACACACACACACACACACACACACACACACCTAACGTTCATATTTCTCAAGCGTATCCGATGTTAAGTAACAGCCATTAATGTAATGCCATTAAACACTCGAAAGATGAAGTTTGTGAGAGAAAAAATAATTTACACTCTTACCAGTGTTTTGAGCGCGTCAAACATTTCTTTTCAAACAGAAACATACAGTCAGTTGATGTAGATTTCAACTCCGTTATCTCTGATGAAAAAATTTAATTTTCTCTCCAGTTTCAATTAAAAAATCTGACTATCTATATATATATATACGAATGTAGTACTAGAAACCGCGAATTTTTATCTGCTATTATTGTTATATTTTAATTTCTATCTTCTATAAATATAGTAAACTTCTATTTTTACCAAGCATGCGATAATTGCTTAAGGATGTATTATACGTATTTTTTAACAAAATAAAAAAATTACAGATTTTTCTATATCGTATTTAGAAATAATACAAAAAGTTTTTGTCAACGATTTGAAAACCTGTGCACTTATTAAAAATTATTTTACACGTGCACGTTTTTAAAAAAATAAAGATAAAATATAAAGAACAATTTAAATTGTAAAATTGTATTGTATTGTTAAATATAAATATTCATATTATTGAAATGTTTCATATGTATAAAATAATAATTTTTCTATAGAAAGTATAAATTCCAGTCACTTTTTGCAGAGACAATACTCATCCTAACTCATATCATCGAGATATTTTTCCAGATATTTTTACTCTACTTTAAACTTTTATGATTATAAAAAAATAAGCAATTTTGGACATATTTTGCGCGCAAGCGAATCGAAGTGGAATCAAGGGGGGGTGATTGAGGAGGAGGGGGACATGCGATGATGCGTACCAGCTTGCGGACGTGCTGGCGAACCATCGGGCACGACGATCTTGATCTGCGACTTCGGCGTGCCCTCGCTCATGGTAGTTTCGACACGTCTTCGATTTTCTACCGACTGAAGGTGGGAAACACGAGACCCCCTCTTCCAACTGCCACCCAAAGCTCAGTGCCGTGCACGTTTTTCCGATACCCGCGCGAGCTGCAAGATCTTTATCTCGATCGTCGCAGGATCCTCTTCTCGCAGGATGTTTTTTCCTCGTCGACTTTTTTTTTGTTTATATCTCGATACAAGCTACTTTAGGTGAAACTGCACTTTTTTACTTTGATTTACTTATAAGATCGGATGCTAGGACGTTGATCTCTGCAGAATCTCGATCGATGATCTTTCTTTGTGAATCCCGGTAGGCGAGATAAAAATTTCTTGATGGGGGAGAGGCGAACGAAACAATTTGTTGATCTATTCTCTTAATTCACCAAAAATGATGATTCATTTGAATTGCAGAATCGCAAGATCATCAATGGGTGATCGTGGCAAGGGATCTAGACGATTTGGGGAGGTCTATATTTTCGAATATTTCGCAATTGTACAGATTTTATTAATTATTGTAGTTGTCTCAACAGTAGCGATTCGACATGGAGATCTCGGATCGCGGGTAGATCGGCAGCAATCTCAATATCGATCTCGGTTTCCGAAATCCCCGCGGAAACACTTTCGAATGAAGAAAACGCGGAAAGTCATGAAGCGCGGCCAGGGGCGCTCCTCTCGCAAGACGGTTCGCCAAACTCCGCGCGACTTACTTTCCGCCTCGATCCCTCTCGTCAACCCTCTCGCGATCTGGGAGGAGCCGACGTGCGCCGCGCGACACACGGGTGGTGAGATCGGCGTGCGACCGCGAGGCGGGCGTTCTCAGTCTCTCAGAGCGGGTGCATCTCTTCCTCCCTCCCCCCTCTTCTCTCGCAGGCGGTGTCACAAGGTCACGAGATCACTGGGTTCGGCTGGATTCACGCGCGCTGGCGTACGTACGTTCGATCGATCAGTCGGTCGGTTGGTCGTGGTTTCCCACCGACCGGGAAACACTTTGCCGATCGACGATCGCGCGACTGTAACCGCGGAGCACAATAAAATACACGTAACGCACAGAATACGTACGCGATATTGTGTCACGTCTTTGGATTTTTCTTCGAGACTCGATATCAGGTCGCTTAAAAAGTTACGAGAAACGCTGTGATTGAGTCGTTATACATAGGATAGTCGACACCGCGACGCGATCCTGCGGTCAGGACGGCACCAGGGAAGAGACCAGACGGCGAGACGGGGACACACAGGGAAAAGCGGGAAGCGCAGCGCGCGTCTGACTAGCGCGGAGCGTAGCTACTGCGCCGCGTCTGACTAGAGCGCGGACAGTCGCTACTGAGCTGAGCGCAGTGGTACAACCTGCGATGTGTCGGACGTACTGGCTGCTTCCTTCTCCGGCGCGTTGCGGAGTCACGGGTCACCACCCTTGCGCGTCTCTCTTCCTGGACCAATCTCCCTCCGATCCTCCTTCACTCGTCGCGCGTTTCCAACCTCATTCCTCCCCCTTTCTTCTCTCTTTCTCTCTCCTTTTCTCGCCCCGCTCTTTTTCCTCTCGCACGCTGATCGCCTCAACGTGCCGAGCGTGCAACGATCGCCCGATGCTGACTCTCGCACGACAACGGTTTTCCCTCGCAGAAAACGTCGACTGCCGCGCGCGCGCTACTGCGAGGGGGTCGGTGACGGCCGACAAAGCATTCTCCCCGGCTTTTCCAGGGGTTCCTCTCTCCTTCTCCCCCCCTCCCCCTCGCGCCCCTTCGTCGCGCGCGCACGCTTTTATGCCCTCTCCTCTCGATGATCTTCCTCTCTCTCCTCCTGTCTTCTCGTGGCTGCGATGCGTTTCCCGTCTCGCTTCATCTCTTGGCATGCGCCCTCCCCTCGCGGAGGACCGCGAGGTGTCCCGGGCGTAGTGAGCAGCTCTCACCCGCTTTTCCACCCTTGCACGGCGCTTGCGCGTCCCGGGGATGTCCCCCTCGCTCACCCCCGCGTGCTCTCCTTCTGCCTCCCTGACCATCCTGCGGATGCCTTCTCGGTCTCTCTTCGGTCCACGCTACCCTCCCTTCAGCCCCATTCTCCTCTCGTCGCCGCTGCTCCGCAAGCAGCCTCCTCTCTCATCTGTTACCCCGCTTTTTTATCGGCCGTCCTTTTCCTCCCGACTATGTTATCTCGCCGGACCATACATGCTCTTCGTTGAGGATGCCCTTCCGGAGGGCACCAAGTTTTTTGGATCCTTGCGACACCGATCGAATTTGAATGCGTGCGAGACGAGAAAGGGGGTCACGGTTTCGCGAAAGAAAGATATGCCTGTAGACAGTGTGACCGAGTGAAAACAGTTTTCATCGGCGACCTGGTTCTTTCATATGAAACGGAGAAAACAAGACTGAGGAAAAAAAATAACGCTTGCAATTTATCCTTAAACTTCAATTTAAATTTAATTTCCACTGTGTTTTCAGCACTCCCATAAATTCGCAAACCGCCGCGCGACAAATTCATTTGTCTCTCGCGCGAGATGAGAACGGAATGAGAATGCACGACACAGACGAATTACCGGCACTAAAAGGGCGGAATTACCCGTGCCCGTGTTGCATATCCGATACAATAAATCATTTTTGTACGAATAAAGACATTGACGCTCGATCGCGTGATTTTTTTCGAATATTATTCAACGAATGCAAGGCATGTCTCTCTTCTCTCCTTCTTTCTTTATCCCATAAATATACGTGCACGCGAGAAAGAAAAACGCTCACAGCGTCGGTTATTTATGTTCACACCTACGGGATGTGCACACAAACCGAGGTTTAAAGCTCGACTTTAAATCGAAACACCAGCTTTAAGCGGAGCTTTGCGATGCTAAAAAAAGAAAAGAGGCCCAGTAATATCTCACAACCGTTCGAAATCGTTCCGTTTATGCAAAGCGTTGTTTGCGAACTTACGACGATTGCAGATATCATTGAGAACGTGATGGTATGCCAAAGTTCACGCATTTAAAGTAATCTCGGGTCCCATATCTTCTAAGTACAAATATTTTCACTACGAGCAAAATGTATAAAATTTAATTCAAGTACACAGTAAAAAATATTTTGTATGTGTTAAAATCAGTCCTTGTTTTTGTGTTAAATTTTTAATATATCCGAGTTTTAATTTAACATAATATGATTGTTTTAAATATTTTGCGTTAAATTGTTATTCCAAAGTTAAAAATCATAAATTATAAATTGTGTCAGTGTTACATTTTTTGTGTTAATTTTTTGCATAATATTTTTTACTAACATATTCATCTCATATCAATTTACACAAAAATTTGTAAAGGAACGAAAATTTATACGGGATACGTGAAATATGTTAAATTTGACACAAATTTAACACTGTGTATTTAATATTTAGTTTATTTAATTTTCTTCAATAATATATTTTTCAAATATTTTCGCTTCAGGGAAAGATTTATTTCCTTTAAATAAAGAAATTACATACACATAAATGTACATATATTTTCTAGAATGCAAAATTCATTATTCTCGCTGCATTTTAATGTTGAATAAACAACGTTGTCTCACGTAATGACGTATACAAGAGTACGGAGGACAATAAAAATTAATTCCCTGAAATTAAAATATCCTGGAGGATAGTACATTATTACTATCAAATAATATAGCGACAATTTTATTATAATATAATTTTATTGTACCAGTATAATAAAGAAGAGCTAACCGTTCATAATTTCAATGTGATATGGCATCGTCTTTCTCTAGTCTTATCCATGACCATCGAAGTATGAATTTTAAAAGCTCCCTTTTTCTTCTCTCTCTCTCTCTCTCTCTCTCTCTCTCTCGCCGTTCCTAACCAGCAAGCCAAAGGATGAGATGCGAGAATCCGGGAATCGAATACGAGAGTTCAGAAATAATTCCCCGGAGGCTCAGGCAAATTTGACTTGCATCGAAAATTGTTCATCGATGCCAACGAACTGACGTAACTTTTTTTGCAAAACAATGAAGGACGGTGAAGAATTAATCCATTCGTGCGGATTCGATTACAGTCTGACTCTCGTGTGTTCGTTCCACTTAGACGGAGGCTAATGCGAGAAATTATAGTCTAGAAATTATCGAGAAATTTGAGATATTTAAAACTATAACAGAAAAATACATCCACTTAAGTTTCGAAATTTAAAGTGTAGCTTGTTCTTCTGTTATTCAGTTTTGTTTATTATTATTGAGTTATTATAAATTTATCTTTATTTAAAGCTTGAATTTGTAACTTTTTCTGTGTTAACCCTTTTAAACGCCTTTTTGATATACCCAATTTCTTTTTCCAATGCATTTTCTATTGCCACAGTATGTTCTGTAATATTATTGTAATATTATTTAATATTAAATAATTCTTGAGATTACTAGAGATTGAGATTGAAATTAATCAAAATAAAGAAACTTAAAAAACCAATATCAAGTTTAGTAACTTTGCTTTGACTGGGTCAAATTCAATCTCAATCTCTAATATACCGGCATAAAAGAAATCTGGGACATCTTACATATTATTAATACAAAGGAAAACCAACATGACGATTCAACATAATGCAGGCAGACTCAAGAACATCATTGTCGAATTCATAATGCAACAGTAATTTAACATTTCGTAAATCGACGAATTTAACCCATGCACAACAACGTCGAAGCTCCACATTAAAATTTGCACGGCGAATACATTCGAGTAAATTTGCGAGCGTGCAACCCAGTTGTGAAATTTCATGTCTGCAGGTTTAATTAAAGCGGTGTTATGTGTCGGTTCGTATACATACAATGATAAATAGCATGTTTTCGAAAGAAATACGAGAGAGATAAAGAAATTAAAAGAGAGAGAGCTCATTTTATGCTTGCGTAAAACCTATACGTACGTTTCGCTACGAAATGCAATCGTTAAAATGTTATTACCGATTTTTGCGCGTCTCTTCCAACAAAGTCACTACATGATAAGGAAACATTCACTGGAGCAAGATGATAAATCCGATGGCAAAGTTTTGTTCACCGAAACTTCTCGTGGAATTATCGTAAAGATAGCGAATCGCCTTGAAGTCGCATAAAGATTCGAGCCATCAAGTTGCATATTGTACCAAGCAATTCAAATAAAAGTTTCGGCTTCCCACTTCTGTACACAAGAAGTAGTGACTTAATAACTCGAGTAGAACTCTGGTTTCTATCTTTTATCTGCAAGTAAATTTTTAGTAAACTTATATTTGCTTATAGTTTCTATATATTTGTAAAAAAATGTTGAAGTTTTCTTACATTTCACATACAACTAGACATTTTTATCTGTACGGAATTTTTTCTTAAAAAAATTGTCCCAAGTCATAAAATTATAAAAAAATAAAAAGAAAGATGTATTTATTATAATTTTTCATTTCTTACTTATGAAGAAATCTTGCAAATGTGTCAAATTTTAATTTTAAAGAAACTTCGTATATGTATGTATGTATGTATGTATGTACAGGAGTCCGGACTGAACTGGAATCGAAACCAAAAATTGTTCTATAATATTATTTTTTAGATAAATAGAAACCAAAATCAAATTTTAAAGTTTATAATACTGAAATTATAATCAATGAAATTATATTTTTACCATTTCTTTCGGTTCTTTCTTCAGATCTATACAGATCCATTCTTTATAGATAAACTAATTGCATTGTCGCGTTTAAAGTTTATCCTTTTCTCTCTACATATTGAAAGAAGAAAGATAAATTCTGAACTCTAAGCTAGTAATGTAAAGGTACGTGAGAAATTGATTGAACTGATGAGCACGCTCTCTTTCTTTCTTTCTTTCTTTCTCTCTCTCTCTCCCCCCCCCTCTCCCTCTCTCTTCTTCTTTCTCCTTCTTCCTCTCTCTTCCTCCCTCCTCTCTTTCTTTCTCTCCTTCTCTTTCTCGTTTACTCGCTTACATTATCATTGCAACTGTTGACTTGAATGTACACACGTAGTATACATATAAAACATTGTACTAAATAATAAACTTTTTAATTTTTATTTCTCTCTCCACTATACATATACATAGTTGAATAAAAAAAGCCATTTTTAACTTCTTCCCAACTTCGTGAGGCTCACGAGTAACTATAAATAACTGAAAAAACCGTAACTTTTACAGTTCCAGTTTTCTTCACTGGTTAAGAAACCAAAATTGAAACCGTTATACTTATTTGACATTTTATTAAAAACTGTAACCAAACTTATTTAATCGAAATCAAACTGAAAAAAACCTTTTGAACCGGATCTCTGCATATAGGTAACGTAAATACATAAATTTAGAAAGTATCAGAAATCATTCCTTATAATTAAAACAATTTTTAGTTCTTTTCGTTATATCTCAATAACTACTCAAGATATTAAAAAATATTTTATACAAAAATATTTTATATAAAGTTTTATAATAAGATTATTTTGAGGATTATCTCTATTTGTTCATGTCCATAATATTTTTAAAAAATAATTTAAAAAATTTGAAATTTGAAAATAATTATTTTTTAAAAATATTATATGACGTGGATAAATGTTATTATAAAACTTTTGTATAAAATATTTTTTTCTTAATTTAAATTGTTTTGGAGATACAAAAACTAAAAAAATACTAGGGAATGATTTCTTCTCAGTTTTTCAGTACCAACTAATATTTCCTAGATTTTTCTAATTTTTAATAATCTATAACATATGTATACAAAGTTCTATTAAAATCAGAATTTAATACTTGGCGAAGTTCCCTTGTTAGATTTAAATCTTGCAATGCATCGCGTCGAGATCATTTATTAGTAATTGTGACAATTCAGAATATTATATAATATTAAATGATAAAAGGCACGAGACCAAAATGATATTGGAATCCCTATTGTAAATAGCCACAATTTTGCGGAATAGCGATGGTCGTTGCGATCGATACAACATGCGGTGCACCTATATCGGGAAACGTTGACTGAGTTACAACGGACCTTCGTAATTTTCGACAGGAGTTTGCAGACACGTGGAGCGAACTAATTCGATTATGGACAATCTGACCGCGCCGAGGGAAAATTTAAAGTTCACTCGAGTAGCGAGCACGCGATGTTGTAATTGCCGATTCCGTTATTATTTCATTAGTGTAATGTGTGTAACA